ATTGTCGTCACGACCTTACGTTATATCGCTGGCTAGACGTCTGTTTTTATACACGTAATTGCGGAAAGTGCATGTAGAATTCGTACATTCGCATGAAGGGCGTTACACATAGGGGTGCAGGGGGGGGGCGGGTAGAGTACAATGTATTGCGCACCTAACGCCCTGCGCGTCAACGCAGCTAGAAATACACGCGGCTAGAAATACACGCGGCTAAGCTTTTGCAATTAAGGAAATGTATTTTAAGTAATTGACGTCGACAAACGTAATTAACACACACCTTGACATCTAAGACACGATCTTTCGTCGGGGTGTGTGTGTGGGGGGGGGGGGGGGTAAGGTTAAACTAAACTTAGTGTGCCGCCTTCAAATGCGTATATACCTCTCAGACCTACGCGTGTTTAAAAGCATGAGGCCCACATGTACAGATGTGCATTCCTTTGATTGTTGTGTTGTCGTACTTTTACGATGTTTACTTTCTTAACTCAGCGGCGTGCAAGTGGGACTTTTCTTAGGTTCACAGAACAATGACAAGAACATGGCATTTTAAAACTCAGTACAATGCGAAGAAACATGAAATTTGAGAACACAGCACAAAGACAAAAACATGGCATTTGAGAACAGAGTACAATGACAACAAACATGACAATCGAGAGTAAAGGACTATGACGTGACAAGTAACATGAACATTAAAGTTCTAGGAAGGCGGCATTCACTTATTTTTCTCGTTTTTTAAGGCATCTGATTCTGATAAGGATGTTTAATATGTAACGTGGCAACTATATGGTCTTTGAGAAAAGAACTGTGACAGAGAACCAGTGGCGTATCTAAGGGGTGTGTTGGGGGGGGGGTGGCGAAGACAGCAGATAATATAAATGATAGTCTCTTATCCTAAAACACTAATTACAAAGACACAGGACTAATTTGTCCACACTTTTCGGCTCGAGATGATCAAACGTGATTCAACCGACTTCAGCCACTCCCCCCCCCCCACGCCTGCTCCCCACAAACACTTTCTCAATCGTCACAAGTCAATAGAACTAAGTCCGACGCCATCTTAAACTAACAACACGCATCACCCACTCGACTTGCACAACTCTAGTCTATGCATCCATTAGGTTATAAATCAGTCTTGTAACCGTCTGCATTAAAATATGGGACAACAGTCTTATCATGTTGGAAAAAAATCTATAAGGTTTATCTGGCGGAAAATAGAAAACAAAAAATTGTTATGGTTTTTTTGTTATCACACAAAATAATTTAGACAAGTAAGTTTCTCTACGCTAAATTTTTAAAAATATGTCCGGAAAGTAAAGTTGTAATATTTTAGCTCTCGCATGTTGCATGTGTTTTTATTTTAAAATGTAATTGAAACTCTGAAGTATTTTTTCTCCGCTTTAAAAAAATTAATTATCTTATTCTAAATTTTAATAATCCGGCCCCTAATGCGGGTATTCTTTTCTTGTAGTTTTAGCATCTTGATAAGTAGGTTTTCTTTTTAATCCTCGTCAATAATAATAACTTAAAAAGTGCGGAATTTTTTAGTTTTTAATCTGTTTTTTGGAAATAATAATTGGTAGTATTAAGAGATAGTGGCTAACTTGGGAAATTCTATATCCTCAAGGGTTAGTTAAGTAAGAATTAGTTTTACGACCGAATGTAACTTTTACCTCCGGGGAATTAGAGTGTTGGTTCATTTTCTTTGTTCTGTCCAAAAATAACTCCGTTTGGACGTAATGATGTTTATACTTGGATATGTAAGAAATTGTGTTTATAAAAAATGAAAAAAAAATCAATTTATGATGTTACAATTTTCAAAATTTCCCTGGTTTTAAAGAGCCACTAATATTTTTCTTATTTCAAATATTTTATTTTTTGATTAAGATTATTAGTGTTTGTTCAAGGAGCTGGAGAGCCGCATCTTGATATCAAAAGAGCCGCATGCGGCTCGCGAGCCGCAGGTTGCCGACCCCTGGCCTATCCGTACCACAAGAATCGTTTAAGTAAAGCAAATCTTAGCATAACCAAACAAAGTTCACAGAGGCTTAAGGATTCGTATATCACCTTGATTCATCGCGGTTGCCGACCCCTGGCCTATCCGTACCACAAGAATCGTTTAAGTAAAGCAAATCTTAGCATAACCAAACAAAGTTCACAGAGGCTTAAGGATTCGTATATCACCTTGATTCATCGCGGAAACTTGCAAGGGTTTTGTTGTGATATCGGACCTTCATATGGGGAGGTGAGAACATAAGCCAGCCGACGGGAGAGGAAATTACCAGCGGTTAGGTCACAATAAAGTTGGGATTAGGATCCAGGACAGACGGGAGGGGAAATTACCAGCGGTTAGGTCACAATAAAGCTGGGATTAGGATCCAATTACCAGCGGTTAGGTCACAATAAAGTTGGGATTAGGATCCAATTACCAGCGGTTAGGTCACAATAAAGCTGGGATTAGGATCCAATTACCAGCGGTTAGGTCACAATAAAGCTGGGATTAGGATCCAATTACCAGCGGTTAGGTCACAATAAAGCTGGGATTAGGATCCAATTACCAGCGGTTAGGTCACAATAAAGCTGGGATTAGGATCCAATTACCAGCGGTTAGGTCACAATAAAGCTGGGATTAGGATCCAATTACCAGCGGTTAGGTCACAATAAAGCTGGGATTAGGATCCAATTACCAGCGGTTAGGTCACAATAAAGCTGGGATTAGGATCCAATTACCAGCGGTTAGGTCACAATAAAGCTGGGATTAGGATCCAATTACCAGCGGTTAGGTCACAATAAAGCTGGGATTAGGATCCAATTACCAGCGGTTAGGTCACAATAAAGCTGGGATTAGGATCCAATTACCAGCGGTTAGGTCACAATAAAGCTGGGATTAGGATCCAATTACCAGCGGTTAGGTCACAATAAAGCTGGGATTAGGATCCAATTACCAGCGGTTAGGTCACAATAAAGCTGGGATTAGGATCCAATTACCAGCGGTTAGGTCACAATAAAGCTGGGATTAGGATCCAATTACCAGCGGTTAGGTCACAATAAAGCTGGGATTAGGATCCAATTACCAGCGGTTAGGTCACAATAAAGTTGGGATTAGGATCCAATTACCAGCGGTTAGGTCACAATAAAGTTGGGATTAGGATCCAATTACCAGCGGTTAGGTCACAATAAAGTTGGGATTAGGATCCAGGACCGACGGGAGAGGAAATTAACAGCGGTTAGGTCACAAGAAAGTTGGGATTAGGATCCAGGACCGACGGGAGAGGAAATTACCAGCGGTTAGGTCACAATAAAGTTGGGATTAGGATCCAGGACCGACGGGAGAGGAAATTACCAGCGGTTAGGTCACAATAAAGTTGGGGTTAGGATCCAGAAACCGACGGGAGAGGAAATTACCAGTGGTCACAATGAAGTTGGGATTAGGATCCAGAACCGACGGGAGAGGAAATTACCAGTGGTCACAATGAAGTTGGGATTAGGATCCAGGACCGGCGGGAGGGGAAATTACCAGTGGTCACAATAAAGTTGGGATTAGGATCCAGAAACCGACGGGAGAGGAAATTACCAGCGGTTAGGTCACAATAAAGTTGGAATTAGGATCCAGGACCGGCGGAATTCAGTTATCAGATAGGAGCGATGTAGATGTATATTGGCATTCTGCTATGTCGTCTAGACAGGGGAAGGTGGGCTAAATTGGGCTGATAAGCCGCTGGGGATAAATTGGGTTAATATGCCGTTTTAAGATTTGAACGTCGTTTATGGCTCAAGGTAAATTTCATGAATTTCTGTATGAGTCTCGAACATGGGTTAACAAGTGTGTTATTTAGACATGATATTGTGTTTCACATCCTTGCGTTCTCTATTTTTAAATGAATGATAAATATGAGACACATATAGAATTCAGGTTTTGGAAATGTATTTACTTTGATATAAGCAAATATAAATTCACAGTAATAGATTGTAATTCATTCACTGAAGTTTGGCTTAGTGGGACCTTTCAATATTGTGGCTAAGCCAGAGGACCTTTCAATAAGCCATATTGTGGGTTGATCATGTGATCTCTGAGTAAACTCACTGTGGATTAGCCAGGGATAAGGTTCCTTAATTCTTAGTGAACAGAAGCTTATTACAAACGCATAAAGTCGCATCTAGCTCTTCTCGTTATAGAGGAAATGTGGTCGGAGTGGGTATAAATAAAACACCCACATAAAAATATATCAGTCAACTAAATGTTGGCAGATAACATAGTGATGTACTCACCAATAACACACATCTAAAACCCACTCAAATTGAGCTTAATATAACGATGTACTCAGCAATAAAACACATCAAAATGTCACACAAATTGAGCCTATATAGACACCAACATATCGTTGTACTCACCAATAAAACACATCAGAAAGTCACATAAATTGAGCCTAATATAACGATGTACTCACCAATGAAACACATAAATTGAGCCTAATGTAACGATGTACTCACCAGTGAAACACATCAAAAAGTTACATAAATTGAGACTAATATAACGATGTACTCACCAATAAAACACATCAGAAAGTCACATAAATTGAGCCTAATATAACGTTGTACTCACCAATAAAACACATCAGAAAGTCACATAAATTGAGCCTAATATAATGATGTACTCACCAATAAAACACATCAGAAAGTCACATAAATTGAGCCTAATATAATGATGTACTCACCAATAAAACACATCAGAAAGTCACATAAATTGAGCCTAATATAGACACTAATATAATATGTACTCACCAATAAAACACATCAAAAAGTCACATAAATTGAGCCTAATATAATGATGTACTCACCAATAAAACACATCAAAAAGTCACATAAATTGAGCCTAATATAACGATGTACTCACCATTGAAACACATCAGAAAGTCACATAAATTGAGCCTAATATAATGATGTACTCACCAATGAAACACATCAGAAAGTCACATAAATTGAGCCTAATATAATGATGTACTCACCAATGAAACACATCAAAAAGTCACATAAATTGAGCGCCATCACGAAGACGTTGGTCGGCGACCTAAGGCGACGGTTCCTAGCGAAGACGAAGAGGCAGAGAGCGTTGATGAAAGAACCGACGACAAAGGTGAAGCTGAGCATGCAGCCGATGAAGGTGAAGCCGGCGTTACTCAGGGGGACGAAGTGTCTGCCCCCTGTGACGTTGTGGCTAGCGGTGACCAGGTCGCTGGACATGGTCGTGTCCATCTGGACGCTCCCCGGGCTCTGCATGGTGCGTGTCAGAACGAGGCTGGTCTTGGGACTGTGGGGGTCAGTTATCCACTGGAACTAATCCTAGAAGTCGGGAAAACAAAAATAGATTCAATGTTAAAATGAACAAATTTCGCTGAATTTTTTTTTAACTTTCAATTATAAAGTGTCTGTGACGGCGTGGTTGAAAGTCTCGAGTTCGGGTCCCTGGCTAGAGTAGTAGCACTTCCCTGAGTCTACCCAGCTCTAATGGGTACCTGGCTCACGTTAAGGAAAGTAAAAGCGAATGGGCATATTGCTGACAACACTATGCCGAGGTAGCTAAAACAGGTGAACTCTACTTCAACTGCCCCATGGACCGATAGAGGGGGGGGGGGGGGAATTGTATTTTATTTTTTAAAATTCGACACTACACATGGCATACGACTCTTGACAAACCCGAATCTGTCGTTTTATCCTGATGTTCCCAGCCATTTTAAAGTCGATATCAATGTGTATTTTATATGTGCACGTAAAAGTAAACACTACTTTAAAAACATGAATTGCGCTTTTAACTACAAATTTAAATTTCTATAATTAAAACATTTTGTTTACAAAATAGCATTACTTTCTAATTTATCCCGTTAAATTTTATCTTATCATACATTTTCATACAGTTATTTTGCTTGAAGCGAACTTTAAATTTACCGTTCATGCATTTAAGTGAAAGTTTGAAAGTGTTAAAGTTACTTAATGACATTGTTTCCCTTGAACTTCAACCATTTGATGGTAATAAGTCACAGTTACTTTTGATGTAGGCTACTATACGCAAGCGTTAGTGTTAAAGTCACTTAGTGACGTCGGTTTGCCTTCAACTATTTGATGGTGCCTTGCCACATACGTCACCGCGTAAATTTCCCTCCTAACTCCCCCACCCCACCCACCACCCCCACCTCGTCTCCCCTCCCCACGACACCTCCCCTAGAAAACCCGATGGACATGGTTATTAATTATGTCTGACTAATTGTGTTAGAACTACCTGTTCCCTCATAGCTGATTGGCTAGTTTTTTGATGGCTTTTCTTCGCGCGGGCTTCCGACTTGGTAATGTAGGTCAGGCTAGTTTGACCTTGCACGGTTAAGTCAGCTTTTCTCTATTTTCTTTCGAACTGTACTTGTTGACCCGGCTGTACATACGTCACAGACACGGTGTTAAGAGACTTCCGGTCATTTGGTCCAGAGGGGGGAGGGGGGGGGGCTTATGGTCAACCTCTCCGGGGATCAATACATCGCGACAACTTCATTTTTTTTCCTACTTGTCTTGGCCAGGGGATTCAATATATTCCCACACTCCCCCCACCCCCACCCCCACCCCCCACGTCAACTCCCCCACCCCCTAAACCACCCCCCCAACTCCACCCCAACTCCATCCCTCCCCATTAACTTTCCAACCTACACGTTGTTAAGAAATGTCACAAAAGTATTACTCCGTTTTATTGCTTTTTTTTAATTAATAGATTATCTAATCATAAAGGGCACAAGGGTCGAGACAATGTTTAAAAAAGAACAGATTATCTAATAAAGATGAGCAGAAATACCGCCGCAATAAAAAATTTCCAATGCCTGGGAATGTCGAACGAGTTTTGCCAGTTTCATTGGTCTTCATACTAGCCTTACACCACACAGCCTCTATTAAGCAGCTTTATCATCTCCTATTCCACGTTAAGTTTTACATTTTTTAACTTAATTTAAAATATTTAACCCCTTGAACATCATCAACTAATCAGTCCTTTACCATCCTGATCACCTAATTTGTTCACATAGAAATAAAACTGTTTATCTTTTTCTTCCACTGTCGTTGACAGTAATTTGGCTAATTAATATTAATTACTAAGCATTGGTCGATAATTGGGGCGTTGATTAGATGAACAACCGTATTGCAAGTAGGTCCAGTTTCACATGATAGAGTACATTTTCAAGCTTAAAAACAATATTTTAACTCACGTAACGTGGTATCTGAACAACACATTTTGAAGGTTACAACAATCAATATTTTAACTCACATTACAATAGATTTAAACAATAATTTTTCGCGGTTAAAAAAATCAATATTTTAACTCACATAACAATAGATTTAAACAATAATTTTTCGCGGTTAAAAAAAAATCAATATTTTAACTCACATAACAATAGATTTGAACAATAATTTTTCGCGGTTAAAACAATCAATATTTTAACTCACATAACAATAGATTTAAACAAATGTTCGAGTTAAAACAATACAATTTAACTCATACAACGATGGATCTAAACAATAAATCTTCGCGGTTTAAAAAAATCAATATTTTTACTCCTTTAACGATAGATCTAAACAAATGTTCGCGGTTTTAAAAAATCAATATTCCAACCAGCATAACGATAGATGTGGACTCTACAACCTGCATCAACAATGCATAGACATGAATAAAAGTTTATGCCATCAACCGATAGACTAATAAAGACAATGTTTTATTCAGTGGCGTCTAAAGGGTTCTAGCACTTTAGTAGGTGAATCGACGATTGATGTTTGTTGTGATATATTTAGTTACATGTCACAGGTAGATATAAGGTGAGTTGATGAAATCTAAATGTCATTGTAAACATCGATAAATGTCATTTAAAAGATGGTATTATGATGTGTTAATGATGGGTTACTGATGGGTTAATGAGAATATTCGGCGCACCAGAGTTATATTTAGATGTTTGCACAATGACAGAGGGAAAAATTCGACACTGACAGACACTGACACGTGACACAGTGTCACATCAGAACCATAAACTTTAATTGTCACAAGACATTTTACATAAAATTAATTAGGTTAATTAATTGAAAACGGGGCAGGATGAATTTTTTTGCTGACCTTGTAAAAAGCGGGGATATAACAATGCATAAACGCTAGCCAGTATTACAGCCATTATAAATACACAGCTAACAGCTAAACAGCTATTAAGCTGGACGTTATATTGTTATCAATGTTAAGCTATATTACCCAGAATTACTGTTTTTACTAGATTTGGTTAGTTATTACTTCCTAACAAGCATAGTGAGTTGTACAGCTATTTAGAAAGTTAAATAGATAAATACAGCTTTATATTGTAATAACTACAGTTATAATATATACGAAACATTAGATGCCATGTAAATACATGTTGCTGTTTAACTCGTTGATAATACTTTTATGTGTGTATAGAGAGCTTTACCATTGTATAAATTTACAACTAGCAGTGTATAACGTTCAGCTGTATAGAGAGCTGAGCAACTGTTAAATTTACAGCTAGTCTTGTAAAACTTTACAGCTAGCATTATACAACTATGAAGCTATAAAGAGAGCTGTACCACTATATACGGCTAGCAATTGTCTAAGATCACAACTATACAGATAGCTAGACCATTGTATACATATAGAGTTATATGAAACAAAACTTATCAGAACGCCACAAACCTCATATATTGTCAGTTTATTTACAAAGAGAGTTCTATATCTGTTTATGAAGCTATGTAGTTACCTATACATTTACACAGCAATTACGTTATCAATGCAGGTATACAGTCACATAACCACTGAAAATGAGAAAACGTGGCTAACGGTAGAGAGCAAGACTGCTGATGCGAAAGTCTCGCAATCAAATCCGGGTTCAATTCAGTAAAATGTCCCACAGTCTACCACACTATAATGGGTACCTAACTCAAGTTAGGCAAAACATAGTGCTGACCACATTATCCCTTCATATGCTGAGGTCTCTGAAGCAGATGAACTCTACTTCATCTGCCCCGTGTGTCTTGGGCACGAAAGGGAAAAGAGGATGACAAAACAGAGAAAATAAGTAGAATATATATATATATATATATATATATATATATATATATATATATATATATATATATATAGAGAGAGAGAGAGAGAGAGAGAGAGAGAGAGAGAGAGAGAGAGAGAGAGAGAGAGAGAGAGAGAGAGAGAGAGAGAGAGAGAGAGAGAGAGATTAAAAAACTTAAATATATATCACACTTGAACACTGATATTAACAGGTTAAAATATCTTCTTTCTTCTTCTTCGTTCTTAAGATTAAGCAGTTAAAATATATAAAGACGAATATAAACAGCTCTAAAATATACCATACATTAAGACTGGTATAAACAGGTTTTAAATATATCACACATTTTAAACCTGTTTATATCATACTTTAAGAATATTATAAACAAGTTTGAAATATATCTCACGTTAAGAACAATATAAACAGTTTAAAAAACGCGTCATACCCTTTAATTAAGACCGTTTAACTAAACACAGAAACAACTTCAAAATGATCATACCTTGTTTCAAAAGTTCCTTATAGAAGGCGGCACGCCCCATCACAGTCAACACCTCTGGCAATCTAATGAATCCCACACAATCGTAAGTCGAGCGTAAACAACCAATCCGCCCAACATCGTGTGACGCTCTGGACGAGACTCGTAGCGCGAGGGTCAAGCCTGCTCTGTGAGTGCCAGACAACGGAGATGGCATCACGCGCCACGCACGTGCAACACTACGGTGGGATATTCGAGCAGATTCGAAAAAAAAATACGAGCCCGCCATCCGATCCTGGCTGATATATCAGTCGGCTGTCCACGTCACTTCCGGTCAGCTAATTTTAGATTTGTTTCAACATTCTAAACTGTGTACTGTTAAGTTTATTTTACCGATTTCTTTTCTGAAACTTTTCTTTATTTTGATACTGAAATTATTGTTTGCACTTGTATAAAGCCATGGTGTAGGCTGCTTTAGAGCTTTTGATTTTTATTAATCTTCATTTAGCAGCGTTTCCGTTCTTTAGAATTTGTGTATGAAACATTTTCTAACAGGTTCGGTAACTCCATACAATTCTCTAGAGGGGAAGTAACTCAATATTTTTTTTTTAAATTGATCTAATTCCGATAATTTAAAAATCCCAGCGTATATGGGGGCGGGGTGTGTTAAAATGTCATATT